CCCCAAAACCCCAAAACCCCACAAGTTTTATTTTGATTATATAGAGATTGAAATTATATGATTATTAATAATCACTAATGAAAACTATAACCAAAATAATAAATCATTAGTAATCTGCTTTACTACTCATCAAGACGCACATTAACTAAAGATTATTGTTATAATCACAGTATGAGTATAAAATATAGCAAAGCATGCTGCAGTTTCCTGTTAGATTTTTCCCAAGAGCAGGCCCAAAGATAAAAACAACTAGCATATCAAAAAGGTTAGAAGAAGCAAAGGAGTAAAAAGAGGAGATGATGGAAGAGATGGAGTTAGAAAAAGACTTCAAAACAAGGCAATAAGAGGTAATGAGCGATCCTGACTTCGGATATGGGAAGTCTAAAGAGTATGATTCAAAGCATGATGACTTCTTTAATGTCTCTAATTTAACAATGGGAGCTGATCGAGTGCCAGAGGATATACTTAAAAGAATGAAAAAAATCTTCAGCAAGCATACTGTCCAAGAAGTTAGAGACTGGAGCAAGCTACTTATGAAGAATTACTAGATATTACATGCAATAGAAAAACCTATGAACCTAGATTATGTCAAACCGTTTTCAAATACTAGTGATCTCATAAATAAAAGTCCTAATATACATGAAGACCTAGTAAAGAAGAAATAGGAGGAAGAAAAGTTGAAGTAGTAGTTGGATAATAAGAAAAAATAGGGGGAGGAAGCTCAACAAACAGTAGAGATGGAATAATCTGAGGAAGGAGGTTTTGAAGCTAAAAAATAAAAGAAATCTAGATCTGAGGAAAAGGAGGAATCTGAAGGCTAGTTATTTTCTTTAGAATATAAGAGAGAGCATGCAATTGGCTATTTAATGAGAAAAATGCCTTATCATTATTTCGTATTCAGAAGGTTGATAAATGAAGTCAAAGAAAGATTACCTAATTTCAAGCCTGAGTCTGTTTTGGATTATGGTGCTGGCTTAGGCAGTGGGGTTTGGGCAACCTAACACATATACGGGAAATAAAATGCCATAGATAAGAATGGCTCAGTAGTTAGATCTGCAGCAGTTGAACCAAATGTAAATATGAGAAAACTTGGGAAATACATTACAGAGGAATTGAATGAAAAAGCAGAAAATAGTATTCTATGGGTTGATTCACTAAGTATGATTCCTGGAAGTGGGGGTGAAAGAGGTAAATTCGATTTAATCATTGTTGGCTATGTACTCTAAGAGGTTCCCTCTGCAAAACAAAGATTGATGATTGTTGAAGCGCTTTGGTAAAGATTAAGAGATGATGGAGTTTTCATACTAGTTGAACCAGGTTCACCTAAAGGGTTTAGATACATTCATTCATTTAGAGATTGGATACTTGCAAAAGAGAGAATTGAGGCTTCTATAATAGCTCCATGCCCAAATCATAAGTAATGTCCAATGGCTTAACATCCAGATTAATGGTGCCACTTCAGTTAGATGACATAGCGTATCCCAGGATACACATTCCCTAAAGCACCTAAAGAGGCATAAATGATTAATGAGAAATACTCTTATCTTGTAGTAAGAAAAGGAACAACACCAAGCACTGTATCTGAAAATTCAACTGAGGATGATTTTAAAAGTCCAGCTGAGAAATCCTTTTTCTGGCCAAGACTAGTAAGACCAATTATCAAATAGCATAAACACACAATCATTGATATGTGCAATACTGAAGGGAAAATAGAAAGAAGAATTATAGCTAAAAGTCACGGGCTAGAAGGAGGATATAAAAAAGCAAAGAAGATGAAGTGGGGAGATTAGCCAGACTTAAACACTCACAATGAAGAGGGCGTCTTCAAGAGAAGTCATTCCAAATCTTGTAAAGAAGGCTCAGCACCCAAAACTAACTGATTTCAGAAACTAAGAAGTGCCTGCTATCCTCAAACAGCATCACTCATAAGCTTAGTTGCATCCTATGCAAGTCATTTACAATTACAATTACCCTTTATCTTGTAAGTATTTGAAAATTGACAAATATTAAAATAGAGAAAAATATTCAGAAATTAGATTAAAACACAATTACTTAATTCTTCAAAATAAGACATAATAATCCTCACTCCAATCCCTTGAGTACAATGAGAAATATAAACTTCAAAATTCAATCTTAACAGAACTCGCTTCCCAGGGAAAACTTCGTGGCATAAACTTTTGATAGTAGAATGACAAGATTCTAAACACCTATGCATCAGAATAGCTAGTAGTCTTCAACTAATACTGCTAATACTATGGTTCAACAACATCTAAGATAACATGTAATTTCATATTTTATTTGATTTCAACCTATAGGTCGATTTGAAAGAATTATTTTAACACATCAGGAGGATTGATAGGCTTTATCATGCTTTTAAAACAAAATAGAGTTAACAAGATATTTAAAAACTTATATTGCAAATTCTTAAGTATCAGCCTAGAATGAAACTTCAGAAATATGAGGTAATTACAATTAGATGTTTGATTTCATACTAGGATCTATTCTAATCCTCAGATAAAAGATTCATCCTTCATTAAGCTTAAATATTAGAATAGCTATTCGTTTACTACTTAGACTTTACCATTATTGAGCTAATGGGTATCTTCTCAATAGAAGCTAAGCAGGCAACTGAAAAGATCCTCTACTATATCTAATAAAATTTCATTTCACTTATTGAGATTGTACTTTACAGAATCGATAAATCTTAACGAGATAATGTATATCATATTCACATTGTATAACTGTTTTAGAATTGGGCATTATAACTGCTTGAGATCGTAGCAACGTTGACTGCAGGAAATAACAATCAAATAGAGAATATAGACTAAGGACAGATTAGACAAAGGGAAGCACTTCGCAGAATCAAGGATTAAAACTAGATCATCATAAATTTATTCACTACTAAAATTTTGCCTGCTAAAATCAAATCATTTACTGCAAATTTCTACAGCTTCATTAAGAATATAGACTCGATAACAATGGATTCAATAAAAAATTAACTTCAAAATATCTAAAAGTTCTGCAAATCTAAAGTAATTAATTTTACCTAAAAGTTATAGATGAATGAAATGAATGAGCATATGGAATTAGATGAATCTTATGACGAGGATTATGATGTTGGAGGTTAAGAATCTATTTTTGATGTAGCTGCATTATAGCAAACTTAAGTAGATTTCAATTAAAGTAATCCTTAAATTTTCATTAATATTATAGCTAAAAAAGAAAGCAAAGTCAAGAATATGGAAAGATTCCTAGGTCGACTTTAATAAGAAAAACAAGGTGGTTTCTTACCCAAGCTTCAACCAGATGTAGAACAGGAGACCTATACCTTAGTTTTGGATTTAGATGAGACATTGATTCATTTCGCTTCTTCTTTTGAACTATAACAATCAGGAGTCTTCTAAGATGAAGAGTCGCATCTTATAGATGGAAACGGAAAAAATTAAATGATGCATTAATCAGGGGATATGGTCTTATTTAGACCTCATTTGCATGAATTCCTAGAAGAAGTGTCTTAATATTTTGAAATCGTAATATTTACGGCTGCTCTTTAAGATTATGCAGACTACATATTGGATAAAATTGATCCCAATCAAGACCTAATTAAATATAGACTTTATAGATAGCATACTAACTTCAGAGAAAAAGATGGAGTTTACTTAAAAGATTTATCAAGGATTGGAAGGGATCTAAAAAGAACGATAATTCTTGATAATGTTAAGGAAAACTTTTAGTTATAAAGAGAAAACGGAGTTTTCATTAAGACATGGTTGAATGATCAAGAGGACACAGTACTTTTGGATATTTTACCCTTGTTGAAACAAATTGTCATTGAAAAAGTGCCAGATGTAAGAGAAACGCTTAGAAGATATAGAGACAGTGTTATGAGGCATATTTAATTAAAGAAAGTCATTCATATTGATAATAAACAGCTTTTGAACAATTAATTGAATGAGACTCATATGAGAGTCACTACACCTGGGATAACAAATAATAGCTATTAAAGCAGATTCTTACCTAGTCCTCTAAGTGAGGAGAATATTTGATTTAATTTTGACATTTACTCAAAAATTGTAATTATGAGTCCTTGGGGTTTTGGGGTTTTGGGGTTTTGGGG